TTATTATCTTAATAAATTTAATTAAATACACTTTACAATCTTATTTTTTCAAGATATAAATGTAAACTTTTAAAAATATCCGTCATTTAGTACTCAATTGATAAAAGAACATTAAAAAGAGAAAATACATGAGAAGAATAATATTAAAAAATATTATTAATGAAACCTTATTTTTATTAAAGTGTCTTATATTTTGGGACGCTAAATTTTTTTTAAAAGTGTCTTATAATTTAGGATCTAGGGAGTAGTAGTTACCAAATTACATCTCCAATTTGTTAATTAATTATCTTTAAAATTACATACTATTTCTAAATTTACCATTATTCAAAAAAGGGTTCAAAATAAAAATATTATTAATTAATTAAATCTCTTAATTAAGGGTATTTTTTTTTAAAAAAATACCTTATAATATTAAACATATATAAGAGCCTTACATTTTTTAATACAATACTTTTTAAAAAATATCTTATGACATTGAATGAAGTCACTGAAATTGTATATTATTATGTATAATCTCACGAGTCATCTTTCTTTCTTGAATAATATTCTACCAGAAATATGATATATTCTGGGATTTCGTTGATATGTTTTGAATGAAATTACAATTATTTCACTTCGATTTTAGCCTTCAATTATAATGCCCCTTCCACTTTTTAAAAAAATTATAAGAAACCCATTAAATTATTAAATAGTCCTTTTATAATAAATTAGCCATAATACTTTCATCTGGATGTTCTTCTTCTCAAAGAAGATGGAGGTAATTTGTTGGTCCCCAAGATGCATGTGGGAAGGGAAGATCCTCTTGTCCTCTTTCTTTTTTTTTTGGCTTTTTTCCCTTTGATTTTATTAAATATATTTTATTAAAGAAATCAAAGCATGCCATGCTGCATGTGACCCCTTCCATAATTGCTCAACGTACTTGTTTTTCAATTGCACAAATTTTGTACACCTATAGTACTAGCTCTCTGGTTGTCACCATGACTCATTTATACTCATACAACACAAACTACTTTTAAAAAATGTGCAATAAAATATAAAAAAATAATAATTAAAGATACTATAAGGTCATTAATTATAATTAAATATTTTAAATTATTAAACTCTAATAATAAACTGTAATCCTTACTTAGAATTAAAAATATATATGAGTTTATAAAATTATTTCTCGCATCTTAATAGAGTTCAATTTATTATTATTAAATATGTCATCTTTAAAAAATACTTTCATTTTCATATGCCACTTATTTATAAAAAATTGTAAAACAAATAAAATTAGAAGAGAGTAATTTAAATAATTTCCCCCTAGAATAAGGTTGATGTACGGATAAGAATTTATTTAGATTATTGGCATTGATTGTTTATAGTTGTTTAGATTATGATTTGGCATACCTCTAGGGTGGCGTGGTTGATGATAATGGAAGCTTGTTTCGCTGCGAATAATGATAATTATTTATCAAATTTTATGCCTTGAGGATACCGAAATCACTTGAAACAAGACACATGATGTCTCAAGTACTGGTAATAATAATATTATTATTTTAAATCATCCCTAGCTCTCTGTGATCCAATAGTAATCCATGCAGGCCCTGATTAATTATTTAATTAATTAAATTTCTCGGGCTTGTAGTATTAGAGGCTTGTGTTCTTTTCGTGCTTTGTCGTTGTGCATGCTTTTGCGTTAACATCTAAGCAGTGTTCCCTTTGGCCAGCTTTTTTCACAAAATCTAAATTTCCATCATCTTAGATTATATTTATATATGCTTCTCGATTCAACTTTTATTAATGTTATCTTTTGTAATCATAAAAATAATTGTGTGGGAAAAGAAATATAATTTATGTACCGCTAGGTTGTTAAAGAGAATGGAATGAAATGATTTTTTTAAAAATAATTATCAAAATGCAAAGGAAAATAGGTGGATCATATTCACAAGGGAAAGTATAATTTTAGTTTATAAGGTTAGGAATTATAATTTATGATATTTTTAGAGAGTGTGATCATCATACATTTATAGTAGATAACAATGGCGGAGCCAAGACCCTGAGTCAAGGGTGCAAAGTAATTTAATAAAAAATTAATATTTTTTAAAAATAGCAATAATTATGTTAGGATTAAAATTATAATAATATAAATAAATTTATCATATTTTTCATTTTAAAAATTATATTGAATTAGTTGATGTGGTTTTTTATTATAAATATACTCTTTATATCTTATTTAAATCATTAATATATTATATATCTAATAAGTTTTCAAACCCAAATATTTTTTATTTAATCTAAAGGGAGAAAAATATTAAAATAGGGGTATAAAGTTGTAAATTTTACATGCTACACTTGTAATTTTTTTAAAAGTGAGAATGTGGCTCCGCCACTGGTATATAATATTGAGTTATCATACTTATCATAAAAATAAAAGGTGATTTAATTTAGTTTTATTTTAATTTTTTTAATTCATTCAATTTCCACCCTTAATGACAACCGAATGAAACCTTTCGATTCATCAACCTTTACTACAAGGCTTTTCTTTTGCAGTTTTGCCAAAAGCTTCAAGTCACATTGTGTGTTGAGTTCTAAAGTAATAACGTAAAGCAAAACATGCTATGGTAATAAAATGCATTCTTCAATCTTGCTTTATTTTAAAGCTTTACCCTCTTTATTAAAAAATATAAAGCATTTTTTAAAAGATTAGATGCTTGAAAATATAAGGTATTTTTAATTTTTTTGAGGTATAATTATTATTATTTTTTCAAAAGTCTCCCTATGAAATAAATTAATTTATATATATATATATATTAAGGTGTTTATAGGGATAAATATGAAAATATAAGGTTAGTTTAAAAATAAATAACTATTTTATTAGGGATAAGACTTAATTAAAAGTGCCTTATATTTTTGAATAAATGAATATAATCCAACTCAAATTAATGTGAGTAGCAAATGTTCTTATCTTTTAAACAAGTTGTTGAGTGTTTGATACATTAAAAGAGAGTAAAGAGTACTGGACAACTAGTTTTTACTGTCAATGGAAGATATTCCTAATCCCATAGAAAGGGATACTCATGACCTAAGAAACTATGATCAAATGTAAATAATAACTTACTCCTTTAATCTTATTTACAGCATAGAGAGAGAGAATATTTATTTTTATCTTATTTATAGGACACCTCAATGATTATTATATTTATTTTTACTATTTTGCCCCTATTAAATGTTGAAAAGTTTATTAAATACTAGAGTATTTTATTTTAAAGTAGGTATATTTAATAGGGATAAAGTTAAAACTTGTTAAATTTTTAGATATAAATAATAATGTTTAAGATTTTTCTTAATTCTGATGAAAATGCTGAAAGTGACTTTTAAATAGGATCAGAGAAAATAACATGAAAATAATTCTTATTTGAAACATTTGATGAAATTATTGAGATTTATTTTTGTGCTGAATAAATTGGGAATGCCCTGGGAATGATTGGTATATTTTAAGAACAAGAGATGATGAAGACAGCTAGCTCATGTAATTCGAGATAACCCCAACATTGTGTTTCTGAGATTGTTTTTGTTTGTATCTATATCTTTCTATCAGGTGCCATTAATTAATTATGGAGAATAGTTTTAAAATCCCAAGTAAATGCTTAAGATCTAGCAGTATTAGTATTGCAATATAGGCATGGCACGGTGCTTAATTGACAATAATACTAAATTAATTGTGAATGTCTCCCAATAAGGCACTCATGGCGAAGCAATTGAGCTGGCTTGTGTCTGCCCCTTGATCAATGACACCTTGTCGGTCTATCATCCACTAAAAAGCAATCCCAATTTTTCTTTTAAATTCTTAAAGAATATATCGAATTATTATATTTCATTCAACTTATAAAATTTGTGTTTTACGAACAAATCAAAAATATCGTTCAGAAATCAGAATAGAGATCTCCCTTTATTATTGCTGTTGTTGTTATTAGCTTTTACAGAATTCTCTCCATTATGAAATAAAAAAATATAACTCTTTGGTATGAATATCTCAATGTCAGATAGAGTTGATACAAGAAATCTCAGTGCCTATGATTAATAATAACTAATCACGGGGTGATTACTGGGAAATGAGACTGAAGCTTCCGTTCAGTGTCTGGTGGGATATATATAGATGATGACTGGGATATTCACGCTACTGTTGTGTGGATAAATCTTATATTCTAAAATGGGAATGTGATGGTTAATATTATTTATTATCGTAGGCATTTTAAAACAAGACAGAGAATGTGATTTAATAATAATAATAACGTGTATATCTGTCTGCCAGAGAAGAGATAAAATGGAAGAGTTGACACCAGAATGTTGTCAATTAATTTAATAAATTTATTTGATAATAAATACAAAACTAATGAAACAGACTTTGAATTTTTTTTCTTTTTGGAAAAGAAAAGACAGAAGAAAAAGGGGGGGGGGGGAGAATGAGAGAGGCAGCATCACATGGGAAGAGCAATGATGAAGGATGCAGATGAGACAATGGGAGAGGATTTGGTGGAGCCACATCAATGCACTACTCATTTGTAGGTTTCCTTATTTAATTATCTACTCTCCTCACTTGGACATTACAATAATTCTGCAAATTCAATCAACATTTAATTAATTAGTAAGTAATGCATCCTAATTTAAAAAATAAATCTTACACTGCCTGCCCTCAGGAATGACAGCTTTTCCATCCTCTTGAGTCTTGACTCTTCACGACCCCACACTATTACTCACACACACTCAAAAGTAATGCTAAGGCACGTTAACTTTATATACCAACCCCCCCCCCCCCAAAAAAAAAGACAGAGAGATTTAAGTGACAAAGTCTGATTATTTATATTTTTATTATCAAGTTCTTAATTAAAATATAATAAATGTTTGCTTTTTAATTAAATTATACATCTATTACTTTTATTTAAAAAAATTATATCATAGATATTATACAATTTATGTAGCATCTACACGCCATAACTCTACATTATGTTCAGAAACGCTTTTCAAATTTGAAATGGGGATAACACAGCCATCCTTCTGCTTGGAGCATTATTATTAATATTATTATTTGGTAAAAGGAGAAGAAGCATTATCAGTTTGCAATAACGTCAGCTCCAAAGAATTTGAGCCAGAAGGCCAATCTGTGACAGGCTACAATCTAGGCCTGAACAAGGCCCATAAACGATTGAAGCCCACGAGTCCCTCTTCGTCGGGGGATTGATGCAGTCTCAGCAAGAAAAGACAAGCAGCGTTAGAAACATGCTAGAAAATCAGATATGAAAGAGAACGTAGCTTTGAAGAAGAGTCCTGGTTCATTCGTCCACTTGCTGTAAACAGTAAACTGAACATGGAACAGCAAGTTCAATGACGTGCATCGCATGTAAGCCAAGCGAGAGACCTCCTTGAAACAAACCAGGCGTGCCAAAAACTAGAACATTAAAAGACGCGCATCACAGCTTGGACATACACAGCTCAGGCGAGGGAGTAAAGCAGAGAATCCTCTGTTAATTGAAATAGACAAGGATACATGAGATTGCCAGTTAAAGAGGAAGTACAACACTCTAAAAAGCAAATAAAATCTGACTAGCTATATACTTGTACCATCGCTCAGTCACGGAGAATATTTTCATGCAACACATCCCATACAAGCATACCTTGTGTCATTCTAGCTTTAGCAGACATCTGCACGCTATTTGATCGTAGCTGAACAGTGATGCGCCGACAAGTCGTTGAGGAATTTCATTGTGTGCATCCCACCACAAGAAGAAAAGAATTAGTTATTTATACAATAGTGCATATGAGCAACGACAGCAGCAAAAACAAGAATTTTGTGTAAAATCCAATTAACTCAAAAAGTTATCGCTAGTAAATTACACAAGTTGTTAAGTGAGAGCATGCTAAAGATCCAAATCCAGGACTTAACCCTATGCAGCTGCTGTCTAATGCAGCTTAGGCAGCGATAACACCTGACTATGTCACCATTAGTTTATAGATTTGATCACTGAATATTAATCAATACACAGACATTCACCATAATTCAGCCTTCCATTAGTTTCTTCTGTCCTGTTACCAGAATATTAGGCATTTCAAAATAATTTACAAATAATTTTCAGACTATTAACCAGGCTTTGACATATAATAATCTCTTAAGGAGTGTGCTCAGATGATAGTGTTAATTATTTCAAGCGCAAGTTTGGGTTTGAGTACACCTATTGAATATCCACAAATAAGGACAGCCCATGGCAGCCACAAGACCCTGAGCTTGTTTTCTTCAGCAAAGCACATTTAAGCCTACAGACAGGCAAAAATGGAAGGATGCAGAACCCCCAAAGTTTATGTAATCACTGGCTTATCAAGAACCATACTAGAAAACCCAGCCATTCTCTACACCGAGAAAAAGATGGCAAGCACCATCATCTGCAGACACCTGGAAGCAAAATCTGTATGCCTCCATCATGGCCCTGGAAAATGTAGGGGAAGAATTACTAGTATCTTCAAATGACATGCTTATGCTGCCAACTTATGCAGTCATCGGTACAGTTTCAATACTACACAAGGCACATCTCATGGTATATATTTGCGTAATAAGAAAGCAAACAGGAGCTTCCGTACAACCGTAAAAGTTCAAAATGAAGGCAAACGGATCTAGGCTTGTATTGAAAAAGGATGTTCAAACTATAAAAAATGAAAGCCTATAAAACAACAGCCGCAACGAATCAATAATAAATCAACATTTTTATGACACCACTTTATTTCAAATTTCTGCAGTCAATTAATGTCTGCCAGATATCTACAAAAAAAAAAAAATTGAAGAATGGTGCCAGAAAGATCTCCATTAAGTATGTCCAATACATCAGCACACAGGAATTAAAAGGCTGAAAGAACAGATATACAAATATGAGATAAGATGTTCATTTCTTCTCAAAGTTTATCATGTACATTCACGTCAATGATCAAACTATATCACTAAGTAGCTTAAAATTTAAATGAACTATCTATCTCATCTTGCTTCTTACAGTTGAACAATGCTAAGAAGAACCTCCTATCATGAAACTCTATGACTGCAGAATTGTATTATGATGTGAAAAACAAAATCCCAATCATTTGACAGGAATACTGTTTTCAGAAGAAATCAAGTTTCTTAGCTCCATTAAATGTTCATCATTTGATATGTTGAGGGAAAGACGAAGATTTGTCATTAAAGCCTCTAATTCCCAGCTTAAGGGTCCTGAAGCATGCAATGCCTCAATTGTACAACGATAGGCATGCAACTCTAACCTATGGATTTCTGCGGCCATTTCTTCTTCTGAAAAAAGGGAACGATTCCCTTCCTCATATCTAGAATGGCATGCAGATTCAGCATCAGAAGTTGCACCTTCGAAATCTTCAACAAGACCTGCAGATACAGGACAGCATGCTTTATTCAAATTGCAGTCATTGATACTACAACTACAAACAGAGCTTGAGACGTCATCAGCATCATTTGTTTCGAATTTTTCTGCAAATGAACAACCAACGATGTCAGCGTGTCTCCTCATCTCTATCTGTTATTGAAAACATACTTTTTCTGTTGTTTAGAGAAGTACCTCTATATTCTTCAACCTGAATGTCCCTTGGGACAGCAACACCATCTGCCTGCCTGTGTAGCGTGGATGGATTCGCAACTCTTGCTCTGTGATATCTACCTTCATTATTGGTTGCTCTCAGCTTCAGGGGAGGCTCTGCATATAAGTCAACTTGTGAATGGCTCCTTCGCTTTAATGTTTTAGAGCCAAGATGGGAATTCAGAAAATTCCCTTTTTTCCTGTCATGAAGATAATCATGGTCAAAAGATCGCTTTGTCTTCAAGGCTGTTTTCTGAACTTGGGCACTAGACATTAAATTAAGCCTTGGAGCAAGTGTATCATCACGCTTTCCATTCTCACATCTGGATGTGCCCTGTATCAAGAGAGAATAATCAACCAATATTCAAACCTATAACATCGATGATTTACAAACAGTAACACACAGAACAAAATGTAAAAGCTACTTTTTACTTCCCATTTGCTAGAGAGAAAAGAAGAAACAAATAGAATCGAAGAAACGAGAACTACTGAGAGCATAACATGTCTAGAAACCTATTGCAATTCACAATCTTCAAGACATTCCCATTAGTTATTATTGGCAAACACATTGTATCGAATATATCAAAATTAAAAAACTTGGTCAAAACCAACTCAAGATATAGAATCAGACCAATCTGTGAAGGAAACAAATAGTACTTGGAAATTGCTCAGTAAGATAATGGAAATAACAGAATATTCAGAATTGGAAAATAAAGGTTAATGGAAGGTACCTTTCCAAGCACAATCCACTTGTCATCTAGCCAAGACTGTCTCGCCCGAATGTCAAATTTATTCACATTAAATTCCAAAGAAGATCCAAGCAGCCTGACCAAAATGTACTCCTTCCCCAAAACCTTCAAAACTGTAGCCATTGACCAGGAGGAATTCTGACAGACCTCTACGACATCACCTGGCCTCCAATCCTGTGTGACTTTAAGGCCAGGAGGACATGGTCTTATGGCTCTCCTGGGTACCCTATCCACAACTTCTTTGCAAGAAGTACCGTCATATCCATCATATCTAACAGAGTAGTGGTGACCATTACCACAGATGATCTCTGCACATCGCCAGGAGCCAGAAGGCACCTCTGTTTTGCTTAATATTTCCACCTTAGTCCCTTTCTTGAATTTCATAGTTGCTAATATACTGTTGCCAAATTTCAACCAGAACACCTGTTGTTGAAGAATACAGGAAGATTTAAGTAATTTCACGACTGGCAAAATATGAATTTAAAAATTAAGCACCAAAAGTTGTCGACTAAAAGAATAATAGAAAAATAGCTTTAAATTGATTAATTGCTAGCACCATAGAATAGGTCGCAATTAATGGACGCTAATAACTAAAGAAAAGTCAGACAACCATAGATATCTTGTCCAAAGGCAGCGGTTTTTAGTTGCTGGATCAGCAAATGGTAGCAACAGCACTATTCAGAATTCGAACGTTGTTTTAATTTAGATCTTGATTTTCGAGGAGATGGAAAACAGGAACCAGATTAAAAAAAAAAAACAATGACATTTACAGAATATGGGTATAATTATGCACCTATAAAGTTTCGAATTTTGATAAATATACCAGTACAGCGCCAAAGAAAGTTAAACACAAAACTCGTTATACAGTTATCTTCGAAATATATGACGAAAACTATAAAATTAAATTAAGACGTACACGATCACACACAGATTGATACGCAATCACTCATGGAAGAAGTGCTATTGATCAAAAGAATGAACGGCATTAAACCGATTCCATCTCGTCGAATGAAGTTCAGCATCTGGAGTTAGAAAACCCAATCGACTGAGCTTCGCACCAGTAATTTGGTTGAGTTTGGGGGCTTTCTTTTCTTTTTTCTTTTTTCCCCCCAAAGGTTTTGTTATGTTAAAAGAAAGCAAGCAGATGCAACCGGGAAATAACTCATTACTATATCAGGCCAATGGAAAACAGACGGGAGATTTCTGATTCTCTTCTTCCGTTTTCTTAGCAAACAAACAAAAAAGTCAAAGAAAATGGACTCAAACATTCAGAAGAACGACTCGTATGCAACAAAAAGGGGGGGGGGGGACTATAGAGAAGCGAAATTGATAGTTCCTTGAGAACAGAAACAATCATAGCAGAGAATGTAAAATCACAAGCTGAATCAGTACACGAAATGGCACCATAAGATGATCGAAATTGAGAACGGAGAAGAGGAAATTTCACTGACCTTGTTACGATTCAGAGAAGACGATGTTCTCTCCTCTTTTTGAATTTCACTCTCCTGATTGTGAAATCAGAATGCGATTGTTGTTGGTTGATGCAAATTAGAATTTGTGTATTTGTTCGTATAACTAATTATCATCTCAACTTGCGTGCTTGCTAAAAAAGAAATTAAAGGGTTTTAGGCAAATTTTAAAACAAAATAAAATAAGAAAATAGGAAGAATTCCCTTTGCCAACTTGCTAACTGTCCAAGAATAGCTTCGTTGAGGTGCAACTTTGTTAGTTGAATTGGAATTTTAAGGGGAAAAATTGGCTATATATTATCTATATCTTGATGTATCTAATATATATATATATATATATATATATGACAAAATCTTTTTTTTTTTGCCAAATAAAAACATTACATATGAAAAATGAATTTTAATGACACAATGATAGAAAGTTTATTCTTAGTAAAAAAAATGATATAAATTTTATTATAATGCCATTAAAATTTATTAATATAACAAATTTTAAGAAGTGTCATTAAAATTAGATAATGTTATCTACTTAAACATTAGATAGATCAATTTAAAATTTAAATCTATTAATAAAAACTTTTGTTGATATTAATTAATGGGTTAATATAAAACTTAAATCTTAAATTATAAGTTCAGGAACGATTTAAATTCTAAACTTTTAAAATATGTATTTTAAATTTTAAACAATTAAAATCAGGATAATTTTACTTCTACTATTAAGTTTAGACAAATGTTTGTCAAATGAGAACTTAATGCATAATTTTCACAAAATTTCACTCTCCCTCTTTTTCTTACCCTTATTTGGTTAAAATTACACATTAAACCTTTGTCTAAACTTAACAAGATGAAATTGCTTCAACTTTAATTGTTTACAATTCAAAATGCACTTTTTAAAAATTTAAGATTTAAAATATCCTTGGACCTATAATTCAAGGTTTAAATTGCATATTAACTCTTAAATAATTATTTCTAGTTATTAGTTTTCTTGTTAAATTTATTAATGTATTTTTTTATTAGCAAATTTTTAGGTAAGTTAAATCTTAGGAACTCATCAAGATCATAATATGCCTCCAGCCTTAAAGATTTTAGGTACTTATAGATATTATATTTATTAGCATAAGAATGTGCAGACCGGTGATTTTTTTTTAAATTGCCTGTTTATGTTTTTTTTCACCAAAAAATTGTCTGTTTAATGTTGTTTATGTTTGTATCCTTATTCTTGTGGAACTATAGTAACAGGATTAAATTTTAATTTAAGCATTACTTTTAAGTAACCCAATTTCTATTCGCTATTATTATTTTCAATAAAGACTAAACATGCTTAACTGAACCTGATATATTTAATAAGTAATTGATTAATCTCAATACGTATTGTGGTATAATCAATCAAATATTAATATTAATCAATTTTAACTCCTCAATTGGAATAATAAAAAACAAGTAAAAGATGTATTTAATAGTTGTTAGGTTTTATAAATAAAATGCTCCCTGTTCAAAAATATAAAAAAAATTTCATGAGACAAGATGTTAGAAGTATTGTAAGTTTTTAGCTAGCATACTCCCTTTTGTCTTATTTATAGGATACATTTTATTAGATTTATATAACTTTATTTATAAGTTATGGTGCGGCTTTTTAAGTACTATTTTCATTCAAAAATATAATATATTTTTTAAGAAGTTGAATGTTTAAAAGTATAAAATATTTTTAGTCTTTTAAAGTGTAATTATTGTATTTTTTCAAAATTATTCCTATTAATGAATGACTTTATATTTAGTATAAAGTATTTAATAAGAATAGATATGAAAATATATGGTTAGTTTAAAAGTAGATAACTACTTTATTGATAGATAAAATTTAATTAATTTTTTTAATTTTTTAACAGAAGAAGTAATATTTAAAAGTTATTGTTAAAATTACTCTTTGTTAGAAAAAAACATGACATCACTTAGTGAATTTTTTATATGGAGACACATTTAAAATTTTTTGTCACCAAGTAATTACGAAATATTCGGAATTAAATTTTGAGACAGATGTTGCTTCAATATGTGGCAAACATTACTATTATTATTATTATTATTATTATTATTATTATTATTATTACCTGTCCTCCTCATTTTTCAATTACAAACTCCAGAATCCCATCCTTTTTTGGCCAAAAAATAATCAATATTTAATAAAATTGGATTTCATGAATCATGTCATTTATTGCAATTCCGTATTGTTATTTTTACTTTCAAGTGTATATGCTGTAATAACAAAAATTTTCAGATATCCTTGTTATTAAAGTATTTAACAAAAATATCTTGTTTTATAAAAATTATATATATGGCATAATAATATAAAAAGTATATACTCCTTTGTTCAAAAATATAAGAAATTTTTATTGGACAAGATGTTTAAAACTATAAAATATTTGGATTTTTCAAGGTGCAATTATTATTTTTTTTCAATAATACCTTTAATTAGGGTTATAATAAATATACTCTATTAAGGGCCTCTTTGCTTTAGCTTATTTCATGTAAAAATCACTTTTTTAAAAATATATATATATTTTTCAATTTTTATTATATTTTTAAAAATTTTTAAAATAATTAAAATTAAATTTTTTATTATTTTAAGAAATTAATTTGAGTAGTTTTTTAAAATAATCTAATGTGATAGATAAAAGAAATTGTTTTAAAGATACAGGATACATAATTATATTATAAAATTTTAAAATAATATAATAGTACATCATTTTTGTAAAATAAAAGTCAAGGAAGATATCATAAAATTTAAACACAACTAACTAATAATTTATTTTTATTATTGCAATCAAAAATAAAATAATGTATACTTTTTACAAAATCTTTACAAAATTAATATCTTTTTATATAATCTTTAAATTATTTAAAACTTATTTATTTTTTAATCTTCAACAAACGGTTCCTAAATTGAAATAAATATGGAAAGAGTATGTACTTTTAAATACAATTAACAAATTTATTAATAGATATGGTTTAGTTAAAAATGGCTAATAATTTTGAACAAAATGAGTATTCATTTTATTTAAACTAGAAAACATGACCATAAAGATATAGAAAAAATCCACAAGAATTTTCTCATCGCAAAGTGAAAAAAAAAATCTCAATTAATTTCTCTACAGCGTATGGGAATATGAATTATAACAAACCATTCGAGTGTTTTCTGACCAGTGACCAATTAAAATAGTATTTATTTTTCAGAAGGAAATGCTCAGGCTTTTGCTTATAAAAGTAAACATAAACTATGGATGACTTGAACGATGATGTTGTTAGTTGTGCAAGTTTTTGTTTAGGTTGGCCCGTGTCACAATTAACCAACCAACGTGTAAAGCAAGAGAACCAAAGCAAAACAGTTGGTTCAAGTCTTGTACTGTTTCTTTTTTTTTTTAATTAATTTCTTTTCTTTTCTCCCAATCTCAAGTCATTGCTTTCAAAACCACGTTTCAAGGAAAGAACAAGTGAAGAAACATACAAAAAGAAAGCTTGTGTCACCAAAACAATAAAAACGAGGGTTGGAATTTTATTTAAATGCCAAAAATCTAAATTATATTATCCAACCCTTTTTAAATTTTGTTAAAACTGTATGAAATTTTCTTTTGTTTATTTTTGAAACAAAAGAAAAACAGATAAGGGTAGGGGTAAAAATAAATATAAAATTTTAAAATACACACAAATCATGAAATCAGAAAAATATAGACACAAATCATTATTATTCAGCATGTAAGAAAAAAAATATGTATTCAATATAAAAAATAAAATTTAGACCAAGCTTCTTTTTCTTTTTTAAATAAAAGGGTAGTCATTAATGGCTTGAGATTGGAAACAGGATTAAACCCATGATCTCCCACTTATAGGAAAGCTTACGAGGTTGTTTGAAACTGTTTTTATTTTATTATTTTGAGAATTAGTATTTTGTAAAACATGTTCTGAAAATAAAAAAATAATAAAAATAAATATTCTCTTATTCTCTAAAACAATAATTTCAAAACACCTAAAAGTTGTTTTTATTTTTCTGTTTTCCAAAACAATATTTTATTTTTTTATTTTTTAAAATACTTTTTTAAAAACACGTTACCAAACATATTTTTTTTTATTCTTTTATTTTAGAGAACAGAAAACTGTCCTTAGAACATGTGTTTAATTTTTATGAGAACTTGGAAAGAAATTTGTGTAAAATTTATATAGTTTATCACATACATTCACATCAAGTATAAACTAGATCACCAAGTGGCTTCAAATTTAGATCAATCATCTATCTCAACTTGCTAAACGGCTAGAAGAAAAGCCTACAATGAAACCCTATGACTGAGTACTGCATTAATAATTTGAAAAAAGATATCCCAGTCATCTGACATGAATACTATTTTCAGAAGAAATCAAGTTCTTTATCTCCTTTGAATGTTCATCATTTGATATATGGAGGGAAAGACGAAGATTTGTAATTAAAGCTTCTTGTTCCCAACTTAAGGGTCCTGAAGCATGCAGTGCCTCAATTATACAATGATAGGCATGCAACTCTAACCTATGGATTTCCGCTTGCATTTCTTCTTCTGAAGAAAGAAAGCAATTCCCTTCCTCATATCTACAATGGCAGGCGGATTCAGCATCACTAGTTGCACCTTCTAAATCTTCAGCAGCTATTGCGTATACAGGATAACGCAATTTATTCCAGTTGCCTCCAATAACACTACAGCTACCAACACAACTTGAGACACTATCATCAATTGTTTCAATGTTATCTGCAAGTGAGCAACCAATAGTGTCAATTGCCTTCCTCCTCTCTTTATTAGCTCTAGAAAACTCGCATCTTCTGTTGTTCAGAGAACCATCGCTGTGTTTTTCACCTGGAATGTCCCTCGGGAAAACAATGCCATCTACTTGCTTGCACAGTGTCGGTGGATTTGCAGCTCTCGCTCTTTGACATCTGTTTTCATTATCAGTTGCCCTAAGCTTCTGGGGAGGTTCTGCATATAACCCAACATATGGATGGCTCCTTCGCTTCAATGTTTTCTTGTCATTAAGATAGCAATGGTCAAAAGATTGTTTGGTCTTTGTGGTTGTTTTCTGAGCTTGGGCACTGAACATTGAACTAAGCCTCAGAGCAAATGTGTTGTAACATTTTGCATTCTCGCATGTGGAACTACCCTGCAGATCAATAAATCAATATTTAAGCTTACAGCATCAATGATCTACAGACACTGATACGAAAAGCAAATTATGAAAGATACTTTTTGTTCATTAATTAGAGAGAAGAAGAAAAGAGGAGAATCAAACAAAGAAGCACCATTGAGAGTATAACATGACTATAAACATGATAACATTGACGCTTTCTTTGGAATTTCCACTTGTTTGCTGTTGGTAAACATAACGTGGTGAATAAATTGAAATTCAAAAGAGGTAAAATCGGACCAATCTGTAATTCAGTTCAGGAAACAAGCAGTACATGGAAATTGCTAAGGAAGATGATAAGAATAACAGAATATTCAAAAGGGAAAATACATGTCAATAAAACTTACCTTTCCAACCAAAATCCATTCTTCATCTTGCCAACACTGTCTGATCCGGATGTCAGTTTTGTTCACCTTAAATTGGAAATAAGATCCAAGCAGCCTGACCAAAACGTGCTTTTCCCCAAAAACCTTCAAAACGACGGCCATTGACCAGGAAAATTTTTGATAAACCTCTACCACATCACCTGGCCTCCAATCCTCAGTGAGTTCAAGCACAGGAGGACATGGTCTTATGGCTTTCCTTGGCACCCTCTCTACAATTGCCTCACCAGTAGTACCATCATCATTGCCATCATATCTAATGGAGTAATGGTGACCTTTGCCACAGATAATCTCTGCACATCGCCAGGAGCCAGAAGGCACCACTGTTTTGCATAATACTTCTACCTTGGTTTCTTTCTTGAATCTCATACTTGCTAATATATTGCTGCCAAAATTTCAATCTAAACACCTGTTGCTCAATAATACAAACAACATTTAGAAATTTTATTACAAGGAAAATCTAAAATTAAGAATTAAGCTCAAAATATGTCATCTAACAGAATAAAAGGGGGAAGAGATGAAAATTGATCATTTGTTAACGAATAGAGGCCATAGTATAGGTCACAATTAACAGATACTGATAAAGTGCAGAAAAGTTAGAAAACCATAGACATCTTGTGGAAAAGCAGATGGTAGCGGCAACACTATACTGAATTAGGGGTATGTATATTATGTATATGTGCATATAGAGTTTGAAATTTTGATCAGCAAACTAGAAGGGGGCCAAAGAAAGTTAAATGCAGAACTATCTTCAAAGTATATGAAGAAAACAACAAAATTAAAAAATCAGACGCCCGCGGTTACGCATACGGATGGATACGTATCAATCAGTGATGACAAGAGTGCTATTGATCAAAAGAATATTTGCGTCAGACCAATTTCATCTCATCGAATGAAGTTCGGAATCTGGAGGTGGAAAATTCAATCAACTAAGTTCCACGCCCGCCAGTGATTTGGCTGAGTTAAGAGGTTCCCCCCCCCCCCAACCCCTTCTCTCATCCAGAGGTTTTGTGATCAAAACAGACGGACGGGTGAATCTGATTCTCTTCCTCCGTTTTCTCAGCAACCAAACACCGGGAAAAAAAGTCAACGAAAATGGACTCAAACGTTTGGAAGAAAAGCTCGTATGCATCAACTAAAAGAAAATGGAAATCAATAATTCATAGTTCGCTAATAGCCTAATAAATTTATACATACATAGAAACATAGAGAGAGAGAGAGAGAGAGAGAAGAGAATGTAAAAGCGCCGACTGAATTAGTATGAATGGCAACATAAGATGATCGAAATGGTTAGAACGGGGAAGAAATTTCACTGACCTTGTTCCCAAGCAGAGGAGACGATCTTTTCTCGTCCTCTTTTGAATTGCAGTCTCAATGTGTTTGGGTGGATTCGTGCTTAAAGTTGAAATTGAAATTGAAAATGCTTGATGATAGGAAAATCAGATTTAAAGACAAATTAAATGAAATAACTAGAAATTACTTAACCAATTTTTAACGAATTACCTTAAACTAAGACTAATTTTATCAATTCTCTCTTCTGTAAAATATTTTTAATTAAATCTTACTCTAATAAAATAATTATTTATTTTTTAACTAATTTTATATTTTTATATTTACCTCTATTAAACACCCTACAATAAATATAAAATCATTATCAATAAGAGTACTTAAAAAAAAAGACAATAATTACACTTTGAGAGACTAAAAATATCTTATATTTTTAAATATCCAACTCCTCAAAAAATATCTTATATTTTTTAATGGAGGGAGTAAGAGAGTATCTTTTATATTTAAATATAATTATTATTATTGATTTATAGATAATTAATATTTTATTACCCTTCACAGAGTTTTCTGTTGATGTGATATAAGTAAATAAGAAAAAATGAAATTTAAGTGAGATTTCATATATTGCGAAATAAATGTATTACAAATAATATTTTTATTTATTACTTATTAAATTCGTATTCCTAGAGGCCTGATATATTTTCTTTTATAAGTCGATGTGTTTGGATATATATGTATATATTATAATCAAATCAAGATTAAGATCTCATATTTGTGATTCTGTGTGTGTCTGAACTTTTTGGGAATAAATTTAATTGAGCTATCACTTTGTTTATGAATTTGATATATCTATTTTTTTCCTTTTCTCTAATTATTAGAGTTAAATGTATTTGAATTTATATACATATTACACCATGGAGTTCGAAATATGAAAAGAAGGATTACTCTCAAGCAATATTTTTAAAATCAAATTGAATATTGAATCGATAAGGTCCACGATTCACGATTTACATGGTTCATTCAGATTGGACAAGTGGTCAAACCATTTATGTGATAATTAAATTAAAAAATTATATATGTTTATAATAATTTAAATATAAGAAATAAATATGAAATTACTACTTAACTTAAAAATAAAATCAAATATTTTAAGTTTATCATGACTTAATAAGCTACATAATATAACATAATATTAAATGATTAAAAAAATTGGTCATTTTCTTAAAAAAAATTTTGAATAGTCCATTTTTTGAAAACTGGGTCTGATTTTTAGTTCAACCGTCAGTCCAAAATGGCCCAACTCTTAAAATGATTTTTACATACTGACTGAGCCGAAATTTGAACCAATCTGATTGTCCTATTCGATTTGATTTTTTAAGCAGTGCTTTTAAGTCCGACGTAAAATACTCTAGATTACTCCTAACTCCTTAATTCTTTTTTGGCCAAAGTGCGGACTTCATTCTATAAAAAGCAGAGATCTAAAACAACCAAGATCATGGCTTGAAAAAATTGAAAAGTCAAAACATGGCATATATTATGAAGCTTTACTGGGGTATCATTACGAAGCCTGATTATCTTTGGGTTTGAGTTCTACATGATAAGTATAAATGTCAAGACCCTAACATTCCTATGGTTTGCAAAACCAACTCTTGCTCCTACATTTGGTGTAATGCCCTTATTGATATTACCATACGTTCCACTACGAAAATCACTAATTATTTCTAATCTTTGATTTAAAATTGTTGAAAACATTGGGATCCCAATAAAAAATTTTTAGAAAACATTTTATCATCATTTGGGTTATTCAACCTTATACACAATTACATACACAGTGAAAGCACGTAGAATTGGTGCATCAAAAGTCAAGACAAACATGTGCATCACTTAAAAATAAAGTAAAAATTTGCACCGTGCGCCACGGCTTATGCCACATGCGCCACGATATGTGGCATAGAGGCCACAATCGCCTGCTCTGTGTCATGCGCCGCCACATGCTAATACATATGCCACGGCGCACATACCTGAATTTGCTGTCAAATGGCAATTTTTAATATGAAATTCAAATGTAAGCCATTTCCATATATGGAGTTCGATTGGGATGGTTCAAGCGCCCACACGAAGTTTATTTTGAAATCTAACTAATGACACTAGTTTTATCCCAATCTAATATTTTCATTAAAAATTAAACACTAAAGTGCACTTTGACTATTTTCTGTCAAATTTTTGCCACTTAAGTGTCTCAATTCAAAACCAATTGTCATTAGCCATTTTTTGGGTCTTGATCAAGTCCAAATGGACAAAATACACCTAACTGACCACACACATGTACAATATAATACATATACACAAATTTAGCCTATAATCTGTCCATTCCACACTTTGTGCCAAAATCACATTCTCACTTTTTTAGTCTCATTTATGGCCAAATTCCTTCATATAATCTCCACCCATTTCATATATACATATAATTACATCCATCCACTAGCCCTTTCAGTCATTTCATCATTCACACACATATAAGGCTAAGGAGTTCAAAATAAAAAACATACCTATGGCAACTTATACATACTTTTGGCTCATAATTCACAAATCATTTCACCATATCTTACAAAGATTTAGCCAAGAGATGTCAGCTTAGCCTATATCCTTTCCCTTTGACTCACTAGTACCAGAACCTGAAAAATGAAAATAACCATGGGTGAGATAAAAATTTCAGTAACCAAATATAACTCATCAAACGTCTATTATAACAAATAACCATGCCAAAGTAACTGAAAATATTATATAGCACATATATATATAACATATCAATACTTAATTATCTTTTTTTTTTGCACATAAATCACCTTTCAAACACTTTTACACCACAGCATGATCAACTATCCACCAATCCTCCAAAACTCCCCGACGTGAAACCATAAGCTCTTTTGGATTAAACACTTATTGACCCGAGCTCACTTTCGATGGTAGAAACACCTAGCTAAAGATAATCTAACCCACCTACGGACTATGGTGTTCCCTCTTCACACACTTGTGATAGAGGTGTCATTAACTCCTAACTGTACTTTAATGGGCACTAGGGAGTTGCCAGACTTCCCGGATGTCTCATGGTAACAGTCCAATAATATGCTGTACCGAATTACCCATAGTAATAGCCCGTATAATGTTGCACCGGATGTCCTATGGTGTCAGCCCGATCATATGAATTTTTCACTCGTAAATCTCCACACACACACAACCCCACATATCCTGGGTAAACTCTCACCTCCTATAATCATGCTTTTTTACAACTTTCACTACTTATACACCTTTCCACAACATATATATATATATATATATATCCATTAAAATTAATAACTTGTCAAATTCATTTCACAATGCAAAATTCATACTAAAACTCATAAATTCACCATTTAACATTTGACATTCACTTCTACACAGTTATAATAGTTAATAAACATAATAAACTATATAGTTACCTCAACCCTTCTGTTCGTTAGAAAGGGTTATCCGTATAAGTTCAACCCTATTCAAGCTCCTTTCTCATAATTCGTGCGTCACACACTAGAATCTACATAGAATTAGCATTCAGAGTCAATTTCTCTATTGATCGAAAGTGTCAATTATCACAATTAAATACTTAATTGCTATCAAATCCACATTTCACACTCGATTAAGCACATTATCACTAATCACCCCTCATTTCAAGCTTTAATATTATCTAGCAACTTTTTTCTCTCACTACTCTCTCTCTAGATTAGGGCAATTCTTGCCTAAAGCTTTAAAACTTTATTGTTTCGACTTAAACCAGTTACAAAACACTAGTTTAACTTTAGAAAACTTTTTTATTACTATAGGGTAAGAAATTAACTTCTTAAAACTCCTGAATTCACTTTCTCATTGGTTAAAACTAAGAAAAAATAAGGTAGATTCAGAGGTTAAGGCAGTACATAACTTACCCGATAAATAACAAGTCGAAAATAAAAACACCGTCCTTACTCCTAATTTAGCTTACCCTAACACAGCCTTGGCTCACACCAAACCTTTCCTTCCACGTTTCTCCCTTCTATTTTTCGAGCTGGACATATCACTATTAATGTAATTTTTACTTCACCCGCCATGACGCGTGACACAGTGAGAAAAATCTTTACTATGCTCACACGCCCTACTTCAGGACCCCGCTCTTCTACTCATATCTATTCATATAACATCTCAATGAGTCAATATATCACTTCACTACTCAAAACTCCAATCCCTATATTAAATCACTAATTCATTCCTAGTCAGTCATTAACACAAGATTAAAAATTTAGAGTATTATACTTGGTCTAATATATGTAGAGTTTGGGACCAATTCACAACCCAGGTGGGTTGGAAGGTAGGAAAAAGGGATAGAATATCTTTTTGGTTTGATAAATGGTGCCCTCTTCTAGAACCACTTGTAAAGTATGCCTTGTCTAAGGCTGATTCTATTTTATATGCAAAGGTTTTTAACTTCTGCTCTGAGTCTGGTAGATAGAAGATTGATCAACTATGCAAATATTTACACCAAGATGTCATTAATCACATTACCATCATTCAAACTCCTAAGCCCGATGCAGATAATGATACTTTATGTTAGAGGCCTTCTAACGATGGCAACTTTATCATCAAATCTGCGTGGAACGCTATTGAAAATCATTACGATAATAAAAGCTCCAAGATATAGTCTAAGATATGGAAATGGCCGACTTATGAGAAAATCAAATCTTTTTTTTTGGAAAGCAGCTTGGGATTGACTTCAACCCAAATTCTCGTGTTCTAATGAAGGCAATCCTTGTATCAGGACATATCCCTTTGGTTGTAACTTTTTAGATTCTACCATTCATATTTTAAGAGATTACAAAAAATCTAAAGAGGTTTGGACAAAAATAGTCAAACAATCTAAACTTAACACTTTCTTTTCTCTTCCTTTACAGGATTG